TTTTTTTTTTTTTTTCCTGATGATTTAAAAAATGAGATCTGTATTATGTAAGAAAATGCTTTAGGCTTAAGTAGAAAAGATGAGGTATAAAACAATGTGCATAATAAATCCTACCTAAAATTAAATGTGGAAAGGTTGTATGTGTAGATGCTTATGCCTGAGCAGAAAATAGGAGGAATCATAACAAACTGCTTACAGTTTATGAGATTAGGATTGAGGTAAAGAGGGCTCCGGAGAAACTTTTCACTGTAGTCCACAGTATTTGACTTTTTCAAAACAATACATTTTACAGCTTATATTCCAATGGAAATCAAAGAGGGAGAGAATAGATGAATGGAACCAGTAAAGAGGAGAGAGACTGTGTTTGATTAGAGATAAATTGATCCAAAGGTTGGTGAAGGAGATGAGGATACAAGAATTTATGTCTCCTTAAGAAAGTGATCAAAGACAGTAAAATGAAGGAAGTTTTGGTTATTCATAAGAACTGATTTTTCAGTTTTGCTTTAGAATGGTTCATCCTAATCATGCAAATACATAGTAGGGGAAACAAGCAATAAGAAAAAGCAAAGCAAAACTTTTTCTAAAATGCTCTGTGCTTTTGAGAGTAATACATACATTAGGTGACTTTTTATTACTGGCTGAATTGTGTTATTCCAAAATTCTTGTGCTGAAGTCCTAAAGTCTAGTACTTCAGAGTGTAATCTTATTTGGAAATAGGCTCACTGTACTTGTAAATAGTTAAGATGAAGAATGGGCCTCTAATCCAATATAGCTGGTATCCTTATTTTTTTAAAAAAAAAAGAAGTTTGTAGTCAGATTTATACATAGGGAGAAGTCTGCATGATGATTGGCTTTGTACTTGCGAGGAACTGTCTATCCTTAAAGACATGTCAGAATCCTAATCTTTAGTACCTTAGAATGTGACCTTGTTTGGAAGCTTTACAGGATCTTTACAGTGCCTTTACAGAGGTAAGTAAGTGAAAATGAGGTCATTAGGGTGAACCCTCA